TGTTGTTGGTTGTTGTTGGTTGTTGTTGGTTGTTGTTGGCTGTTGTTGTTTGTTGTTGGTTGTTGTTGTCGGTTGTTGTCGGTTGTTGGGTGTTGTTGTTGGTTATTGTCGGTTGTTGTCGGTTGTTGTCGGTTGTTGTGTTTTAACCCTTTGCGGTGCATCAGTCATTAACGACTGATATTGTGTACATACCGTAAAACTGTCGTAACTCCATCGATTTTAGTCCTGTTGCACATATCGAAATATGTAGATTAATCGTTATTTTGTTCATTATCCAGGAGGATGTTGCTATGATTCAGTACCATTTTTTCGCATAATGAGACAAGTTTGTGTAACGTTAGTGTGACGTGGGTATGCTGATTGGATGCGAGGTGGTGAGAGTATGCTGATTGGCCGATAACAATTAGTGGAAGGGATAAAGTAATGCGCTGCTTGTGCAGCGTAACCAAACACATGGTCTGTGGGAAACACCCTAGTAAAATAAATAAAATAATAATAACACGAATTGCCACCGGCACTTGAGAGACTCGAGCCCCGCCACCTTGTTCAAATCGGACTTGGTAGCTTCGTATTGGAACTTAATCTTCTTCTTTTTGAGGTATGACCGTACAAAACGCGCTTGGAGTTTTCATTTATTTTATTTTTTCATTGCAACTTTTTTAGCAGATGTCCACTCGTGAAACAACGGTGAATCTGGAACGAATAAATGGTCCATGCCAAAGGCATGACGAGTCTCGAAGTCTTCACATTCATGATGGAACCTTGTCATGATTGACGCATTCCTTGATGGTGCGCACATGAAATCAACCTGGCTCATCTTTTCCAATTCCATTCTTTTCACATCCTGCAACCCATACCCTACTAGTATCAGTGGGGACGCTAGAATCAGAAGAGGCAAGGCAGCACTCTTCCGTGGATGTATTACTCGACACAACACCACCCATACTTGTTTTCTAGAAGTTTTGAATATAATGATATATTGCAGTAGGAAGTAGTATACAGTCAAATAGGATAGGATAAGAATGAATGATCAGCTGTCTGATAAAGAATGCAGTTCATTAAAGACTTATTGGAAGCTCTCTACCAGCTGATCGTCTTGTTGAACGGCGACACTGCATAATGATATGAAGCTCTCAGTTAGCTGTTTCAGTTCCGTGGTAGAAAGTGTCATGTGCGCGTCCAGAGCACGATGAAAACATCTGGGCTCCACGTGGATGCAGACGATTGGAGCAACAGTAAGACGTACCTTCAACGCCTGCTCGTCAATGTCGAGGGAGACTGCCCCGGGGTAGATGAAAACATCTTGTTCCACATCCAGTTCGAACGAGCTGGTCGGGACTAGCTTGCTTTCACCGTTGATGTACACCCGACATTGACCGTCGGACGAACGTGATGGGTAGAAGTTGGTCTTGATCTTCTCCACACGTCCTCTTCGGAGAGTGTCACGGAGCGATGGACAAGTCTTGATCAAGTTCGTAATGATGAACTCAGTGGACTCATTCAGGTCGATGTAAACCTGTCCTTGAGCATCTTTGCGAGCTGTTGCCGTACTACCACAGGCTGGTAGAGCTCCTGAAGGGAAGTACATCTTATAACCAGGCTTGTAGAAGGATCTACCTGATGACTTGTAGGACAGTTGCATGTCCTCCTGAAACCCATCCACCACAATCTCTTTGTGGAGCTTGGTAGGAGCAGGTGGCACATAGCGACGCTTAGCCGGTACTGCGTTCGAAGAGAGCACAACTTGAGGAGGGTCAGCAGGAAGAGCGGAATTCTTCCTCACCCGTCGCTCGTAAAGGGAATCCATCTTCCAGGAAGCGAAGGCAGAACAACTCATCAGCACTGTATTCGATGAACGAATGACTCAACTACAGGACAACCATCTGTATTTATACAAGTCAGAGACGGGGGCGGATTGAAATGTTAAAAATATGTGTCAGCTAGATCAACCAATCACCATCAAGCCCGACACAAACATTTGCCCAATCAGCATTGAGCCCGCCAAAAACATTTGACCAACCAGCATCAAACTCACCAAAAACATTTTGTCCAGTCAGCGGCATGCCCACCAAATAATTATCTCATCTTAAAGATTCCTTACATGATACAGCCACTTTAGTGAACTGATACAGTATGGAAATAAGATCAAAGTCAAACGTGTGCAAGTTCTGAATCACGTGATCAAGTGAATAGGTTTCCCAACAATAGGCATCAATCAATGATGTCATAAGAGATGTATCAGATGGAGATAAAATCAGCAAATTCGTACGCAACGTGGACAGTTGAGATGATGACACCATCCTGGTCGACTCCATGAGATGCAGTACATATAGGAGTGGAAAATGCTGAGGAAGAGGTTTCATGATTCGACTGAACCTCAACCACGATACATTGCTACGAGGTAAGTAGGAACGCAGTTTACGTAGTACATCCACATTCGTATCGTATACTATGCAGGATAATGCTATAGCATAGTTTAAACTCTTGTACAAACAGGATTTTTTCATCGCAAGTAACTGCTCCCGAAGAGGGTGTACGCAAAGCTGATCGGATAAGAGTTCAGTTTTCGAAAGAAAATGCAAAAGATGACGATCCACACCGCATAACCGCTCATGTACAGCGTAACGCTTCTTCATCAAACTACATCTCCTATGCACATCATCTTCAGGGAAGTAAATCACCGCCATGACAAGTCCACACGAAGAACACACGTATCTTCCTTCATGTAAAACATGATCAAGATGTTGACACTGTTTTTCCTCCCCGTATTGCTCTTTTTCTTCTTCTTTCTTCTTAAATTCAGAATCCATCTTCACTCCTCACCAACATCCTCATTATGACACTATATCCAGCATGATATCTACTTTATATAACCAATCCTATCCAGGGCAATTATCAGGTACAACCATGGGGGTAGATGACCTCATACCCTCTCCGACGTGTTGGCGAGGGTATGAGGTCATCTACCCCCATGGTGATTGGTTGATCTAGCTGACACATATTTTTAACATTTCAATCCGCCCCCGTCTCTGACTTGTATAAATACAGATGGTTGTCCTGTAGTTGAGTCATTCGTTCATCGAATACAGTGCTGATGAGTTGTTCTGCCTTCGCTTCCTGGAAGATGGATTCCCTTTACGAGCGACGGGTGAGGAAGAATTCCGCTCTTCCTGCTGACCCTCCTCAAGTTGTGCTCTCTTCGAACGCAGTACCGGCTAAGCGTCGCTATGTGCCACCTGCTCCTACCAAGCTCCACAAAGAGATTGTGGTGGATGGGTTTCAGGAGGACATGCAACTGTCCTACAAGTCATCAGGTAGATCCTTCTACAAGCCTGGTTATAAGATGTACTTCCCTTCAGGAGCTCTACCAGCCTGTGGTAGTACGGCAACAGCTCGCAAAGATGCTCAAGGACAGGTTTACATCGACCTGAATGAGTCCACTGAGTTCATCATTACGAACTTGATCAAGACTTGTCCATCGCTCCGTGACACTCTCCGAAGAGGACGTGTGGAGAAGATCAAGACCAACTTCTACCCATCACGTTCGTCCGACGGTCAATGTCGGGTGTACATCAACGGTGAAAGCAAGCTAGTCCCGACCAGCTCGTTCGAACTGGATGTGGAACAAGATGTTTTCATCTACCCCGGGGCAGTCTCCCTCGACATTGACGAGCAGGCGTTGAAGGTACGTCTTACTGTTGCTCCAATCGTCTGCATCCACGTGGAGCCCAGATGTTTTCATCGTGCTCTGGACGCGCACATGACACTTTCTACCACGGAACTGAAACAGCTAACTGAGAGCTTCATATCATTATGCAGTGTCGCCGTTCAACAAGACGATCAGCTGGTAGAGAGCTTCCAATAAGTCTTTAATGAACTGCATTCTTTATCAGACAGCTGATCATTCATTCTTATCCTATCCTATTTGACTGTATACTACTTCCTACTGCAATATATCATTATATTCAAAACTTCTAGAAAACAAGTATGGGTGGTGTTGTGTCGAGTAATACATCCACGGAAGAGTGCTGCCTTGCCTCTTCTGATTCTAGCGTCCCCACTGATACTAGTAGGGTATGGGTTGCAGGATGTGAAAAGAATGGAATTGGAAAAGATGAGCCAGGTTGATTTCATGTGCGCACCATCAAGGAATGCGTCAATCATGACAAGGTTCCATCATGAATGTGAAGACTTCGAGACTCGTCATGCCTTTGGCATGGACCATTTATTCGTTCCAGATTCACCGTTGTTTCACGAGTGGACATCTGCTAAAAAAGTTGCAATGAAAAAATAAAATAAATGAAAACTCCAAGCGCGTTTTGTACGGTCATACCTCAAAAAGAAGAAGATTAAGTTCCAATACGAAGCTACCAAGTCCGATTTGAACAAGGTGGCGGGGCTCGAGTCTCTCAAGTGCCGGTGGCAATTCGTGTTATTATTATTTTATTTATTTTACTAGGGTGTTTCCCACAGACCATGTGTTTGGTTACGCTGCACAAGCAGCGCATTACTTTATCCCTTCCACTAATTGTTATCGGCCAATCAGCATACTCTCACCACCTCGCATCCAATCAGCATACCCACGTCACACTAACGTTACACAAACTTGTCTCATTATGCGAAAAAATGGTACTGAATCATAGCAACATCCTCCTGGATAATGAACAAAATAACGATTAATCTACATATTTCGAT